ATGAAACAGTTGAACAGATAAAAGGAAGAAGGAAGAGAAAGGAACTATAAGCGCGGGCTAAAACGAGCTTGAAGAGCTTATCTTCCTTTATACCGCGTGCCTCGCATTCCTCGATAACTTATAATCCATTCTGACAGAGATTGCGATAAGAATAGCTCGAAATTTGTCAAACCTTATAGAATCCCCGATAAATCATTGCGGAACAGAAGTGGAAAACGTCACGGAAAAGGCCATATAAATGGAAGTTCTTTAACTGGGCGATTTAAAGTAAACTTCAAAACTTGACAATTTCTTAATTTCTTCATTTGTAAATTTGTGACTTTGTGTTTGAAAGTTTAAGAACTTTAACTAGAAAATTTGAGGACGTGAAAACTTGCAATGAGAACTTCATTTGAAAATTAATTTTGTCAATTTAAAAATTTTTTAATTTGGAGATATCTGTGAACAGAAAAGAGATTTCTGTGAATTCTGATTTAGTCTGATTTAGTGAATTGATTTTAAACTACAAATGGAATGAAAAACCATTAAGTTGTTATATCGCTGAAAACTTGTACTGACAATGAGACTTATATTGAGACCTGTACTGAAACTCTAACCCTCGCGTTATAATATACATCCCACACCTAACAATTATAGCTATAAATTCACAATTTAACTTAGACAGTCACTAAAAATCTGACGTGACTATAAATGCAATTTAAAAAAAATTTTGTAAAAAATTTGTAATTTTGTAAAAGTCCATTAGTTAATATTGTGATTAATTTCTAAAGTAGAAGTATCTAAAAATTGAGGACTCGAAGACATGAAAGTGTAGTTTCAAGATTCCGTACAGTTCCGTTGGATTAACGAAGATTATTCGCGTCTATCTTTTTATCATTTCACCACGTAATCAAGTATGTAGTCTGGCGAAAGCGATGAGAAATTAAATTAATTTTATCGGCTTAAGGGAGTCCCTTCCGACTCTGATATCAGCCTCGATCCCTTCGCTTCCGACTCACGTCACATCACCGGAAATGCTCGACTACCCTTCCTGCTTCCTTCTCGTGGATGATAGAAGCTCACCACGCACTCTATACCAACATCCTTTCCACGGTTTTTGCAATTCTATTACACCAGAGAAATGTTCTATTAAGTGAATAACCTAATCTTATGACTTTTCTGCTTGATTAAAAATTGTACGATCAATATACATGGTGCAAATTTTATTACCTCAAAGTTCATAGTTTTGCTTTTGTCAAATATCAGTCTTAAAATATTTTGGTTGAAAGGTCTACTGAATTCATTTAATGTCACTGTTTCTTTATTATTAATTGTTACTATTGTCTGCTACACTATGTTTATACATACGTATAGTATTATAGATTCAGTTCAAATTTATTTCAAATTCTGTATAAAATGGTGAGTCACCTTTCCAGTATTAAATTAACACTAAATCTACCAAACCGGTCAAATGACCGCTCCACAAGTTTCTCACAATAAGGCACACATTTTGTCAAAGTACATTCCTTGAAATCAGCATTGATTTTCATCAAGACAAAGAATAAATGTGTACTAATTTATATTTCGTCGATTGTTTATTTATTTTTTAACCTGATTTTTAATTTCAAATTAAGTACACATGTCGATAGGTTTAGTGTTAAGTGTTAAATTAAGAAATTTCGAATTTTCTCAAAGCCACTAGAACCAGTAATCGAGGATCGCCGGTTCCATAACTTCCACATGCTATCTAGCTACTTGTACTCTGCCGCTTGATAGACCACCGTGGAAGCAGCGTGTCCACCTGTATGGCTCCTTAAATACTCTATAACACGAAGAGGAATACCATGGGTTACGAGTACATGGACGTAGCACGAGAAAAAGGGGAGAACGTCACGAGGAAAGCTCATCCTGCAAAACCACGAGGGACCCCCGGATGTTTAACACGGGGCTGCTGCGCTCGTTCCGCATTGTTTGCCCGCATAATAATTTACGTGCACACGAGAAAGCTGTTAGAGAGACGATGCTCGGACGAATAAGGAGAGGGGTCCTCCGACTAGAAGTATGCTCGCGATTAAATGACAGGGTACCGCGACATTCGCCACGGTCTGAAATAATGTCTCAGGTATTACCGGAGGTGTTCACCTGTCGTTTCCCGTAAAATTCTAACTTCTCGAGTAACCTTTGAGAGCACTAGATATAGTATAGTACTAGATTATAGTGGTAGAGCACTCGAATCGCTTGTTTACGATATAATAAAAACATGCGAAGCTATCTTTTGACCGCTACAACCAGATGGAGAACGCTATAGTCGTTGGCTGTTTTGCTTAATAACACGGAAGCTAGAAGACAGCGCTGTATGCGCTGCAACGAAGCAGAACCATGTCAGATAAGATAAGAACGGAAAAAGACGAAGGTACTTGGTTAAAAAGGAAGAACAAGGGAAACGACCAACGTGATAATACGAGCAGGCATGATCAACTTTACAGGGAGAAAGCTACCAAATGGATTAGACGTTCTTTTTCGATAGTCCTCTCTGATACGGTGCGAACGTGTTCTAATTGTCTTAATTAATTTTCTGAAAACACTGATATAATTCTATGTCCACTTTCTATAATTAACTTCAAGTTTGCTTTCAGATGTTACGAAAGGAGGGACATGTTTATTATAGAAAAATCAATAGGGAGAAAAATGTGGACTTAGCCTGACTTATAGGTACAAAATTTGACTTGCAACATGCAATATACAGAATTATTCACGTTTTCTTGAAGAAAACATCTTATAGTTGTTTATTTTTTTGTTCGACCCATTGCTTGAATCTAATGCTGGAGCTTGAACCTAAGATAAACATGATTGTCTAATTCAAAATAATGTACAATGAAATTCATATATTTTGTCGAACATAAATTAATAGCAAATTTTACAGTTAATGTTTCTTATCCTATAAAAACTCTTGTAGTACAATCATAATTTTTATGTAACATTTGTTACTCTTTGTAATTTCGAATTTTTCTTACATCTTTTAAAAACATTGTAGTTTAGTTATACTATACAATCCATCGAACTTTATTCTTTAACAAAGAATACTGATTTATTTTCTCAGAAAGACATTACTTTTTCACCATCAAAGACAAAGAGTTCATATATTAAACAGAGCAGCGAAAATGTATAGCTGTTATGTTGCACTATAAAGTAAGTATACCTCCCAGATCCGTATCTAAAATAGATGATAATCTCCGAGTATGAGCAGTATCGAAGTTCGGGAAGTTTTCGCGTTCAATTTTTCGTGAGGTCCCTGCAGCCCGAGCAATTGCGGAAACTTGAAAGAATTCCAAGTAATCTCCATGAACATCGTCTCGGCGTTCGCCACAACCCCTTCGCACCCCGTCCGCCCCATAGTCTGTCGATTCGCGTAATGCATTCCATTCGCGAGAAGCCATAAGATTTTCACGGTGGCCGTGTTCTGGAGCGTTACGTGTCGATACAAGCGCGTGTAGGCTCGTTTGAATAAAAGATCGTTTTGAGAATCAGCGCGCGACGACCCAGGGGCAAGCTTCCTGCCGGAGCAAAAATCGGGTATCGGCCGATGGTTAATTCATGGCGGTGAGATCCCAGCAGACGAGCCCCGGTAAAAAGAGATCCGAGAGTGATAAAATACATTTCGAACTGTACGCTCTGTTTTGCCGCCTCTGCCTATTCACATCCCTTACGCTTTCAAATTTTATCGACTTCCCTCTCCTTTTTTCCTCTTATCCGTTTTATCGTTGTTACGTGCCGCGTTATTCTTGCTGATTCACGCCGGTTTCTAATGAAAGATAAAGTACGAGATATTTGCTTGTATAAATCATAGATTGTCGCTCGGTCACGTAGAATGTTCAAACGTTCGATTTGAACTAAATGATGTTTTTTACTCGGACATCTAATATTTACGTCATATTTGAAGATGCGGCTTTAGAACTTTAGTGGCAATTAATAATAGAAGAATAACTTCAAAAGAGTTTTTTTCATCTGAAAAGTTGTCACTTGTCAAAAATCTCCGAGTGCACAGGTTATAATTCTTTGAATCTATGAGAACGACTGTTTCGCTTAATAACGGAATTTCGTCGAAATTACAAACACGACAAATGGATTTACGTCAGTCCCGATTTTAGACAGTAGTCTTTGTTTATATCCTTGAAACGTTTTAGCCGTCGAAACAGTCGGACGAAGCGTATCGTGCATGCGCCTCTATTTTCCCGTCTGACGATATCCGAACGTGAATAGTATGACGTGACACTCGAGAGCGACGCGATATGAGGACATTATCATTATTGCAGGATATCGTGGAATAAGTTTCCGCTTTGCATCGACAGATCTCCGAGCGGTGGAAATTTTCACGGAAGTTCTGCGACGAACGCCATTAGGGAATCGAAACGGTCGAATGCGGGCTCGGGAATTCGAGAGAAAATATTTGCGAGGCCATGAATCTCTGCAGCTTCCATTTTGTACGAAGAAGAGGAACGAGGAGAGGAAACCAGTTTTATCGTGCTACTGTCGCCTTCGGGGAAACGCGTATTCCTTCACTGGTTATTTGCTTTTGTTGTTTCGTTAAGGGAAATGACAACTTGATTCGGCTGTATTGCTTCGTATCGACGAATTCGTGTTTCTCTTGTTACACCGTTTCTGCATTCTGGATTTTTCACTTATTGTGAACTCAATTACTTTGATTGCTGCTAACTCGTGTCTTTTGGTAGTACTCTCAGGTGTTTATTATTCGGAGTAGAAATTCAAGATTTTCAATTAGAATTTATATACAGGGTGTGAATATTGAAAAGTAAGATCTTTAACACTTTCATACGTCAGTACATTTCACTGACTCACTTTCGCAGACAATATAAACTATGATTTATAAAATTGTTTTCAAATTTATTACACAAAACTTGCAATCCAAATTTGTTTGTGATCAGTTCAACTGGACTGCTCGTTGATGAAAATGAATGTCTGTTAATATCTATTAAATTAACATGTTGGAAGAATGTACTTACTGCAGGCACCCTCATGGCTGACACGTGTAGTTCTTCTCTCCTGGCAGCTAGTTTTTTGTAGATGACAGTGATTTGTGTAGGTGACGTTGTCAGAGCCGCAAACAGGTTTGGAGGTCGAAGGACAATCATTAGGACACTGACATAATGGTTTCCCGTTCTCCGACACGACGCAAGTTGCACCCCAAGAACAGTAAGTCTTCTCGCAAGGTTCTGAAACGAGAAAAATAATTGATCAGTAAAATGCAGTAATTTAAAATACTTAGAATTTTAAAGTTATTAGACGAGCAACAGAACATGATATCATTCTGTGAAGAGTTAGCTGATCAAAATGATTACTCTATTAATAGCATAAGCTATGAGATGTAAAATTCCTATTAATAATAGTTATTTTCAACTGTGTTATATTTTGTTAACCAAGTTATTAAAAATATTTTAAATTTTAGAAAATTGCATCTACTAGTATATTGCAGTCTTGTATCGAAATTCAATAGCATTGCAAAGGAACATCACTGCGTGAAATTGCACATTTTCGAATTTTCCAATTCGACGAAATCTGTGATTACGATGTAATAAACAAGCGCGAATCTGTATCCTTCTGATGAAAATTTATCGAACATTTATCGGAGCGTTGACAAAAGCACAAGCTACGTTAAATTAATTTGACCGAGAAGCGGATTGATCAGTAAATCAAAATTATCCGTATAACAGAAATTCCGTTTATGAGACGCGTTTACATACGCGTGCGTGTAATCGTGCATTTTCAGCTGCGATAAACAACGACTAAAAATATAGACACAAAAACAGAATATCCGTTATCGAAAAGAATCATCTCGTCGTTAAATTTTCTGTTCGGAACTGGCAAAACTTTTCACCTGATTAAAATTCCCGTCGCTGAAGTTATCATTGATCAATTACAAACACCAAACTCTTCAATTAAATTCTATTCAGATAACTTTTGTTTTACAAATTGTGGCTCGGAAATGGCGGCGGATCCGCAGAGAAACAAACACCATTGTCTTTGTTCCAAGTCGTAGATTCGAGGAAATTCGTCTCAAAGCTTACGTCCAAGCATTAACCAACCAACGAGAAATCAACGACGGGACTTTCAATAAAACATTCTTCAGAATTTTGCCATTCAACGTTCGCGCTTCAAATGCAAGCCGCTTCGAAATCGCTGGTATTTCTGCTCTTTTTCACTATAGCCACCATCGAGCCCAAATATAAATCTTAGATTGATCGTCTGAAGCCTCGATTCCTTTTATTCTTATAATTTTCAATTTAGAAATAATACTCTTCCAACGTATTAAGAAGTTTTAATTAAAATTAGCGATCGCAATTTACTTTTAACGCTTTTAGGCTTCACTATGACAAATTCCTTAATTTTCTCTATCTTGTACTTGTTTATTCTTTTTCACTATATAAAATTTTATACATAATAAACAAACAAGATGGCTACAGAGAAACGAATGCGACGCGATCACGTTAATGTATAACTGTTATAAAGTAATAAACTATGCAGCTCAAAAGAAACATGAGGTGATATTATTTGCCACGTGTACCAGTTAATAATTCTTAATTTTTTTTTAAAGAAAACAATTTAAATTTGGGAGAAGACAAAGATGCAACAACATGTAACAACAAAATAACATTCATTGTGTCTAATGTAATCCACCTCAGAATTGAGAATTGTCAATCCATATATCAGACACATATTAATTTGCATAACTCAGCACCAAGAACTGTTTAGTGCTTAATGGAGTTCCAAGAATGCTGTTCCTAACTAAAGTGCCACATATTTTGATTCACGGTCCTCGATTAATAATTCTAAATCAGAATTTAAATTTCTGGTAAGGTGTTCTTTGAAGGAAGTTCGCAAAACGTTCTTAACCGGAAAGGAAGAGACGTTGGCCAAGTTCGATGGGGAGGTGCACCGCGGTACGAAAGAAACTTCCAGAAGTGAATTACTGGAGCGTCGGGAGCGGAAATTCGTGTTTCGAAAGCTTTGTAATACTTACGCCGGCGGGGACAGTCGATAAGAAAACACCAATTAAAGGGAGCCGTTCGACGAAAATAATTAGCTCCGGCCGATCAACGCCGGGGAAAGGAATTTCCTGGCAGAACGGCCACGTCACCGACCACCCCCTTTTTCCTCCACCGATGTCTTTTTTCCCCCTGATCGTTGGCCAGAGAGATTCGAGGAAGCGCAATCAATTTTCCAGGAAAGTTGGCTTCAGACCGAAAGAAAGCCGCTGGGTAACCTCAACGGATAATCCCAACGGCTTGGTCATTAATATGGTGGACAAGTTGATCCTTCGTGAAAAAATCACCCGAATATCCTGGCCTCTCGACCCGATCGTTCCGAAAGCCTTCTTCGTCTTATCCCGTGGACTTTAACCTTGAACGAGGGTGTGGTCGATCAAACATACCCTTTGGTATATGGTTTCCGTCATATAATGGAAACCATTCTAAAACTCATATGTAAACTTCGGAGTTTTTGTATTTTCAAGTTTTCATTTTTTTTAATATACTTTTTCAAGCTTTCAATTTTTTAACGTTTCAAATTTTATCATTCGCAAGTTTCCAACTTCAAATGTTCTCACCCTTTATTTCCAAGGTTTCGAGTGTTTCTCTAGTTTTCAAGGTTTCAAATTTTCTCACTCTAAAATCTTCAAGGTTCCAAATTTTCTTCTCAAGTTTTCAAGGTTTCAAATTTTCTCACTCTAAAATTTTCAAGGTTCCAAATTTTTTTCTGAAGTTTTCAAGGTTTCAAATTTTCTCACTCTAAAATCTTCAAGGTTCCAAATTTTCTTCTCAAGTTTTCAAGGTTTACAATTTTCTCACCCTTACATTTTCAAGGTTCAAAATTTTCTTGTTAAGTTTTCAAGGTTTCAAATTTTCTTACTCTAAAATTGTCAAGGTCTCAAATTTTCTCCTCAAGTTTTCAACGTTTCAAATTTTCTTATTCTAAAATTGTCAAGGTCTCAAATTTTCAACGTTTTAAATTTTCTCATTCTAAAATTTTCACACACCTAATTTTATAAATTCTGCAATTTCGGATTTTCTAAAGTTATGAAATTCTAACTACATATTTTTAAATTAATAAAACTTAATTTCTTATTCCTCGTATTCTTAAATTTCTAACACTTTAAAATTCAAGTTTTCAAGAATACTAAATACAAGTTCTATGAATTATTACCTGCAATTATTAATTTATTATAAATATTCCAGATAAGAGAAAACACATCTTGTGTCGAATAAAATCAAATTTGAAACCAATGCCCAAATAGTTTTAAAATGTTGATATAAATGCAAATAACAAGAAGAATTATTCTGCAGGACATGTAAGATTTTTATACAAGTCGATAAAAAAACGATTTTATCTATCGACTATCGCTTTCCTCCGTACCAATTGGCGAGCATTTAGAACGAGATCCGAGATTCACGATATCACCGTTATCGAAACGAAAAGCAGGAGAGTCACGGTTCAAAGTGTTCTCCACTGTAACGTTTCAATGCTGTCTCCTTTTTCTCCGAAGTGGATTTTTCTAATATTTCATGGCTTGGAGGGTGAACACAAAGGTGGAGGGTGACTTCTTCGGGGCGACCTCCTTTGCGTGGATTGTATTCTGAGAGGAGGGATTAAATGGGTCACGTCGTGAATGAATTTGTGCGGCTCAAGCACGTTTTCGACAAGTTGGTGACAATTACTAGAATCACTGTGGAAATCTAGAAATTAAGCGTAACGTATGCCAGCTGCATCTAGATGTAACTCTTAGTTATGAATCATTCAAGCGTGAAACTTCAGATTCTGTTTTCTCTGTTGCATATTGTGAATTTTACTTTTATACATACAAGTATGTCAGTCAATAAAAATATCTGAATCTCGCAAATTAAAAATTATGGGAATATTTTATTATCTACGTTCTCAAAAATAAAAAAGGAAAAACATTGTAATAATTTTTGTATGTGATGGTACTTCAAGAACTTAATTTTGTGAATATGTAGTATTTAATGAATATGTGAATATGTGAATATGTGAAAATGTGAATATATGAATATTTAAGCTTTGAATTTGTCTTTCTTATTGTTACTATATGATAGTATATTTGTTTCATAGTTCAATTAAATTTAGAGCTAGACCAGTCACCGATAACTCAGGTATGCAGGTGTTAGTCAAATCGCAAATAATTGGCTGGCAATCAGAGTCAGCACTGACGCAAAATATTTACAGATTTTCCAAAAAAAATGTTCCCTATCGCGGAAAATCCTGTTGAACTCAGTGAAACATGTTGAATGAAACGGGACTAATTGGATGCTCGTAGTTTCTGCTGTCGATTCAAATGGCCGGTGTAACGCAATTGCACTCGTTTTTTCGTTTAGCGTGGAAACAAATCACCGGCGTAATAAATACGTTTTACTTTCACTAGTCACGTCGTTAAAAGAACTCGTTGGAGCGGATCAGTATCGCGATGTCTATCAATACTCCATCAAACTGAATTGTTTTCCACCGAATAGTCGTTAAGAAACCAACAGATCACGCGTGTTACGAACATTTCGATTTTTTAACCTCGTTACTCCAGATTTAACTATTAGCGCGAAGAATTATTTCATACGTCAAGCTTGAATGACTATTAACTCTAACAACTATTACACTTCAATTTTTAATTATAGGAAATATAAAATGATTTCTTGAAAAGAAATATCAAGGTACACTGAGAGGCATGTTTTTTCAGTTTACCTTTAAAGTGAATAATCGAATTTGTCACGTGTCATCGGTGAAATAAACAACTTGACGGCTGTATCTTGACTCGAGTCTTCAACGTTGCAGAAAATTTATGACTCCATTTTTCAAGCAGAAAACATCTATTAAATAACATAATACACTCAACATAATTCACTCCCCACAATCTGTTCGATCCCTATAATCTAACAATCGTATAAGTATATCCGACCGTACACTTCAATCACTATAGTAAACAGGACATAGATCTAAAAACGCAGAAGTGATTACACAGCGTATACATATACAGTTGTGTACATTGTTCAGTATTAAAATTTATTGATACTTTGGATTTTCTCGCGAATGGAATAATTACGAACGAAATGTTTTCGCCCTACTTCGGTCGAAGACCACAGCACGGAAGAAGGTATAAAGAAAAGAAGAAAAGAGTAAAGAAAGAACCACAAGCGTTAGCACGAAGGCGGTGTAG